TCCTGCTGGTTTTTTAGCTTTACAGAAAGCTCGAAGTGTCTAAAGGTTTATGCGTGATAGAAGCTTCTACTCACGGAGCGTCACTTCTCACATGGTATCTTGCTAGGTATTTTATGTGGTCCCTGTGTGTTCTTAGAATCATCTATAAGATTGCTTTCAGTTCTCTGTAGCCAACAGGAGAGTTTGGGCTGGAACCCAGCTTTAACGGACTTCTAACCTTAAAGTCTTTTGCTGCAGTACCCTGCCTTTTTATATTCTAAACAATATCTAATCTTACATATCAAACGTTTAGTTTGAGAACTAGAAAAGTGAAAAGTCTCAGTGTTTTGGAGAAAGGATCCAATGTTAACTACCAACACAGTTGATTTCTTTACTATTTATTTTGAAATAAAGAGAAGTTTGAAAATTTTCAAAATAAATCGTTAGGAAAAGTTGCAAAAATAGTGCAAAGTCTCATACCCATCATGCAGATTTCTTACGTGTTAACATTTTACTACATTTGCTTGTCTGTTTTTGTTTTGTTTCTGAAGAACTTGAAAATATAGTCAGTCTTTTTCAGTGCTTCAAGGTTTAAAAAAAACAATTATTTCATTGCTAAGTGAAAGATTCTGACATAACACAAACCTAAAGATTACTATACATTAGCTCTTTGCATGCCTCAATAATTGGATGTGTATTTCCTAACCAACATGTTACATGATCACAATATATAAATCACTGATGTTCTTTATAGCAAAATAAAAGAAAAAAATTGGTCCGTAATAAATTCAGGATCACTTGTGGCATTCAGTTGTCTTGTCTTGTCTTCTTTAATCCATAAGTTAGTATTTCAGTCCATGGCTTGAAGCATTGAAGCTGTATTGGAGCATATTTTATAGAACATCTATCAATTTGGCTTTGCCTAGTGTTTTTTCTTGCTTAAACTCCGAGTATGCATTTTGGGGGCAGGCGTAGCAAAGACGTGATGCTGCTATTCTGGATGCATCCTGTTAGGAGGCTGGGGTGTCAGAATGCCTCACTCCGGGAACGTGAAGTGAGCTCACAAGTTAAGGAAGAATCTGCCAAGTTTTCCTTGTTGCTAAATGTCTTTTTTCCATTTTGTGATTAATAAGTGTCTTGTAGGGAAATACTTGGAAACCATATCAGTATTTGTTTTTCTTTCTTTTTATTTAAATCATTTTATTGGGGGCTCATACAACTCTCATCACCATCCATCCATTGTGTCAAGCACATTTGTACTTTTGTTGCCATCATTTTCAAAACATTTTTTTTTTCTTTTTTACTTTTGTTAGGGGTTTTTACATCTCTTAACACAATCCATACATTCCTCCAATGTGTCATGCACATTTGCACATATGCTGCCATCATTTTCAAAGCATTCGCTTCCCACTTGAGCCCCTTATACCAGCTCCCCATTTCTTCCCTGTGGGGTTAAGGGGGAGAGGGGACTCCACAAATCATCACAGGTCCGGTAGGCGCAATTGTACAGCGATAATAAGTAGGGATTATAGTAAAGTCATAGAGAGCATGAGAATTAGAGGAGAGGTTGGAATAAATAGAGTCAGACACAATTCATGGTAGCATTGCTCACCTCAGCCCTGCTTGATGGTCCTCGTGGGGGGAACCCAGCCACCAGGGCAGGAGCAGCCACGGCAGGAGAACCAGGGAGCCTCCTCTGCCCGAGAACCAGGGAGGCCCTCCTTTCTTGCTAACCACACATTGTATCACGTTAGGGGGATATGATTACAGAATCACTGTCACAGAAAGGGGCAGTACAATTCATCCTTGGGCGGGTGTGATCTCTCTGGTGTCTCATACAATGAAACAGACAACTACT